GGAGCCTGGTGAGTCACTTGAGTCGGGGAAGGAGAGTTCTGGGAGAGGCCAAAAAGCACCATCCATAGTACTACAGGGTCTGCCATCAGAACCTTAGTTGTATAGTTGTCAGCACTACTCTTCTGGCAAGTATTTTGTGCGCCATATATTCACATTCCCTCGCATTATGAGTAACTACGATGATAAGTTTGTATTTTAAAAAAAATATTGGATGCAAATTTGCCAGCAAAATACAGTTAAGTAAAGCTAATTAGTCCATTATATGTGTGTTTGTTTGGAACATTTATACAATGAATTTCTTACAAATCATTAATCGCTGCCATCAGGTTTAAAGTCTAAATGCCCTGATATCTGGGATTGCTGGAAAAGGGAATGACAGTGTGGGGGAACATGAAATCTAGTAGATCTGAGTGCTGTTCCCTTCCTCAGAGGCCAGAGCAAAGCCATTAGCAACTTGAAGGGGAGCCTCTCACCTGCCACTGGGGCCAAGGCATACTGGAGCTTAACCTGGTTGTTTTTTCCCTTTGCGAACAAACATTGTCACTTCCAGCTCTTCACATCCTGACAGATGATAATGGGAGCTGGGCTGTTACCTGAATATACACTTTAGCCTTGGACTCCATTAACTTTCCTGCTCTGTTTTCACAATCTACAGATTATTTGACTTTGAGATTTCCATTTATTTATTTCGGTCTTTCCTGTTTCACTCCCAGCCTCCAACCTGTGGCTGATCATCTCATGCGTTGTGGGCATTGCTGTCCTGGTATCTGGGATTGTTGGATTTGCTGTATATTTCAGTGAGTAAATTCTGGTTATATTTCTTAGTGGGGAGAAGTCAGGCTGTAATTCTGGGGAGAATCCAACACCCCCTCCCCTCCCCTTGATGATCAGCTTAACCAACAACTTGGAGGCTTGGACTTCTCACCTTCTCTCCTCACAGGACCCTTCCACACAGGACCAAAACTCGTGATGGGTTTTGGGTTAATCAGAGGTGCCAGATTAATAATATGTCTTAACTCAGAGTAAACTAGGATTTCCCAATTTATTCTGGATTTTAAACAACTGAAAAGACCCAGAGCTCACTACAAGGTCCAGATCTTTTGAGATGTTGGGCCTGTGGAGATTGACTTCTGGGACCACGTTCCATGATTCCAAGGGTCAATCCCCACAGCCATCCAAGTCCGTTGTGCTCAAAATAAGTGACTCAAAGGCTGACAGAAGATAATTCACCCACCTGCAGTAAGGTGGCAAGGAGTGTGCCAGTCTACCCTTTCTGGGAAGTGGGTTCTAGAGCCTGGAGACAGCCCTCAAGAAGGCCCCATCTCTCGTCCTGACCAGATGTGCCTGTGAGGGCAATGGGGCAGGGATCAGGCCCTCCAGCAGATCCCAAAACATGACAGGTTTGCAAGGGAGAGTAGGACCCTTTCCATCACTTGGAGTTCGTGAGAGGCAATGTGGTGTAGAGGTGTGTATGATGGATGAGGACTTTGGGAATTTAGTCAGTTTCTATGATGCAGCAGGGATTCAACCTTTTGTGTTCCTGAAATCCTCGTCATACATGAACATTACTGTGCCACTTTCTCAGTCTCAGAGGAAGGCACTGGCAAACATTCTCTGAAGAAACCTTACTTTTACTTCTCTTCATTGCATGATTTAATTTATCTGCCACTTCTCTCCAAGGGTGGAACCCAAGGCAGTTTCCAAAGACATAAAATTCACCATAAAATTTAAGAGCCATTAAAGTCACTTCATAAAACATTTTAAAAGCAATTAGAACATCCAGATTTTGCCAGAAGTTTTGTCTTAGGGTTGCTATGAGATGTAAACTACCTGAAAGTACACAACAGATATTATGTTTATGTTTATTGATACCCAGCTTTTTCTGTCCTCAAAGAAGACTCAAATAACATGAAGTTCTCAAAATAGTTAATGTGTCAGGAAAAAGGATAAAGTTATGCACATTTGTATTTAAAAGATTTTATTTTTTGTGGTGGTAGACAAAAAGATCTCCAACATCTGACCAAAATGTTGTTTGGAGGTTCAAATATGACCAATGTCCATAAACATGTCCACTTTATCAGAAGCTTAGTTCAAACAAACAACAGAAATGAGGAAGCTAGCTAACATCAACAAGTTCAACAACAAGTTCAAAGTCAGTGGTGCAAGAGTCCTTGGAAAACAGCAGAAAAATACAAACGACAGAGACTAGAGCCAGTACCAAAGTCTAAAGATCATGAAGCCTAAGTCAGAATTCCTTGGACATCAAGCCAAAACAAACAAAAAAACAAAAAAACAATGGAGTCAGCTCCCAGATCAGGAACAAATGAGTCTGATAACAAAGTAAAATTATTTGCAATGGGTGAGTGCTGATACTGACTAGATTGATAGCTCTGGGTCAGGATCTCAGCTGCTGCCTGAGAAATGTGTGTTTGTCAGGTAACCTAAGAGCCCTGCAAAGGCCCAGCATGTATCGGACACTCTATGTTTAGCCCTTCTGAAGCTTGCCTAGACATGCTTGTTTCAGCTTTCTCACTGGGATTTGCACAGGCTGCAATGAAGTGTTTGCTTCAACCAAGGACTCATCTTTAGCAGTGGCTGAGCTAGACATAACTAGATGGGAGCTGATTACCTCCATCTAGTTGCAATTCATCCTCGCTGTCTGGGCTGGGTGTGACACATTGCATAGGACATTGGTCCTTTGCCAACTGCAAGAGGTTGGGGTCAGGATCTGTGCCTGGGGCACTTTTCAGGGATCGACAATCATCACAACCTTCAGGATATCACCTTCTTACTTACAGTGGTTCATTGGAGTTCCATTTCCAAACAATATTACTTTTCACCAAACCAATGAAAGCTATACTCAGCAGATTTTAAAAACAATTTCACCAACTAAAATCTGAACCAACAGTTACTATATGGCAGCTCCTGCTCACTTATACACTATGACAAAACATGCAGAAAGAGATTGTGAAGAGCCCACTGTTCTACAAATTTTCAGTTTTTCTCAGTTGTGGAAACAAAATGTGCCATTTCTTAATAAATTTAACATGCTGAATTCAAATATAATAATTAAATGTGTTAATTGGCTCTGTTTTTTATGCAACAGCTATTTCAATTTTCTCCACAATAGGTAATTCGTTAATATTATGATAATGCGCCTAACCTTACTGCATGTATATAAACCGTGAATATTTACTAAATTTTAGTCAAATTATATTGCCAATAGTTTATACATGAGAAATATTTATTTAATTAGTCTATTGTTTATGTTTGTGCAGCAAGAAACTCTATTAGTAGGCCTAATGCAGTTGAAAAGTCTGAAAGTTTAAATGTCGCTTTAATCGTGACTTTAGTTTCTATCCTGTTTGCTTCTCTTGACTTTTCTTTTGTATTCAAGGAAAGGATTGTCTCTTCCAATGCTCCAGCAGTAGTCTGACAGCATTGACGGAGTCCATTGGCCTTGATATCTTTTTTCCATAGTGCTTTATTTACACACGTGCGAGGCATAACTACAGTAAAAAGAACAATGTAAAACGATGTTTAACGATACTGTCTCAGTCTTCAACTGACTGACCCTCACCGTTCAAAAGTCTGGCCTTATATAGGGCTTTCTGGCTTTTGCACACGGCACTAATACTGCATCATCAAACTTTCTAGAATATTCTAGAATCTTCCATAGTGTAAGTCGCAACATGCATTTTTTCAACCATACGTGATCACGTGATTGTTTATATCATAAAAACTATATCAGGGGTCCTCAAACTTTCTAAACAGAAGGCCAGGTTACAGTCCCTCAAACTGTTGGAGGACCAGATTATAATTTGAAAAAAGCATGAATGAATTCCTATGCAAACTACACATATCTTATTTGTAGTACAAAAAAACACTTAAAACAATGCCATAATTAAAATGAAGAACAATTTAAACAAATGCAGCTGTGGACAAGTCTACATAGGGACCACCAAACGCAGCGCCCAAACAAGAATCCAGGAACATGAAAGGCACTGCAGACTACTCCAACCAGAGAAATCAGCCATAGCAGAGCACCTGATGAACCAACCTGGACACAGCATTTTATTTGAGAACACAAAAATGCTGGACCACTCTCACAACCACCATGTCAGACTACACAGAGAAGCCATTGAAATCCACAAACATGTGGACAATTTCAACAGAAAGGAAGAAACCATGAAAATGAACAAAATGGCCAGAAAAAAGTTAACAGAAAAACAGGCAGGGACATCTAATCACCTTTCAAGAAGAGTTTGCTCCAGGCACAGTCAGGCCATTGTATGCTAATCAAGGTGGTCAGTTGAAAGATTCACACCTAGCCCAACTGACAAAAGTCCTTTGTCCCACCCTGGTCATTCCACAGATATATAAACCCCTTTTTCCCAGCTCCAGCAGACCTCACCTCTGAGGAAGCTTGCCATAGATGCAGGCGAAACGTCAGGAGAAAATGCCTCTAGAACATGGCCATATAGCCCGAAAAAACCCACAAGAACTGAGTGATTCCGGCCATGAAAGCCTTCGACAACATGATACAACAGTTTAAATCTTATTAGTATTTCAATGGAAAGTGTGGGCTGCTTTTGGCTGATGAGATAGGATTGTTGTTGTTGTTGTTGTGTGCTTTCAAGTCATTTCAGACTTAGGTTGACCCTGAGTGAGGGCCAGGTAAATGACCTTGGAGGGCCTTATCCGGCCCCCGGGCCTTAGTTTGAGGACCCCTGGCTTATATCATAAAAACTAGAGCCAATATACATTTTTAAATGTCATTTCCGTTTTCAGCACCCCAAAATTATAAAAGAACAACTATTTTCAGGCCCGCAACTTTTTCTCCGTTGAACAGTGTAAGTAATGGCCTGACAAGAGGGAGTGAAGAAAGGGGATTTCACTGAGAAGAGCTGCTGTAGAAGCTAGTTCCTTGTTCACAAGCTGGATCCACTTCTAATTACCTGGGCCCCTTATACACTATCATATAATGCTGATTATCAATTCAGATAATACACATTATCTGCTTTGAACTGGATTATATGAGTCTACATCGCCATGTAATCCTATTTAAAGCAGATAATCTGGATTTTATATGGCAGTGTAGAAGGGGACAATGTGATCAGAAAGGGAGATGTGGTTTTGAGCACTCTATATGATGGATATTGGAAATGCTAGGCATCAAATTTATATATGTATCTATTTTGGGGGCTGAAGCATTTATGATTACTTGATAGCTCTATATGTAAGTAATGCATCTGCACATGTTTGTCTTGAGAAAAAGGGACAAATACATCAACTCCCATATCCAAGGAACTGACCACCTCTCCATCTTTTTTCTCCTTCTCAGAAAGTAAGCAAAGTTCCAACAGTTCTGGGACAGGTAAGTGTTTACTATTATTATTTTTCAGTGGCAGTAGAATCATAGCATCCTAGAGTTGGAAAAGACCTCCTGGGCCATCCAGTCCAACCCCATTCTGCCAAGAAGCAGGAATATTGCATTCAAAGCACCCCTGACAGATGGCCATCCAGCCTCTGTTTAAAAGCTTCCAAAGAAGGAGCCTCCACCACACTCTGGGGCAGAGTTCCACTGCTGAACAGCTCTCACAGTCAGGAAGTTCTTCCTCATTTTCAGATGTAATCTCCTTTCTTGTAGTTTGAAGCCATTGTTCCATTGCGTCCTAGTCTCCAGGGAATTCCTCTCACATATTTACATGGCCAACATGTCTCCTCTCAGCCTTCTCTTCTCAGGCTAAACATGCCCAGCTCTTCAAGCCTCTTCTCATAGGGCTTGTTCTCCGACCCTTGATCATTTTAGTCGCCCTCCTCTGGACACATTCCAGCTTAGAGTCAACATTCCCTTCAATGTGGTGCCCAGAATTGGACACAGTGTGATTCCGGTGTGGTCTGACCAAGGTAGAATGGAGGGTAGCATGACTTTCCTGGATCTAGACTCTAGTCTCCTATTGATGCAGGCCAAAATCCCATTGGCTTTCTTTGCCACCACGTGACATTGGCTCATGTTCTCTTTCCTTCCCACGAGGACTCCAAAATCTTTTCTCCATGTCCTGCTCTTGAGCCAGGCATCGTCCTCTATTCTGTCTCTTTGTGTTTCATTTTTTCTGCCTAAGTGGATTATCTTGCATTTGTCCCTGTTGAACTTCATTGTGTTAGTTTTGGTCAATCAGCTCTCTAATCTGTTAAGATCATTTTGAATTCTGCTCCTATCTTCTGGAGTCTTGGTAGTAAGTGACTCCCGCCTCCAAGGGCAGAAAGAATTCCAAGTGAAAAATAGGGAGATTCCCTTCCCAAGTTAATTGTTGTGTTTGATCTGCACCTTTCTTCAGTCATTTCTTTTCCAGACTCCCACAGACTTCCAGGCAAGTAAGGGGAAGCCTTCCTTCTATCCAGATTTTCCACCACCATCCTCTTTAAGGCAAACGCTCAGTCCTTGAGAATAGAAGTCACATCCCAGTTCACATCTGGCACATCAGATAATGCCTGAATTCTGGAATTACAGTCAGGGCCGTAGCCAGAAAATTTTTTGGGGGAGGGTTGAAATTTCGGGGGGGGGGGGGGGTGTAAAAAAATTTTTTTTGGGGGGGGGGGGATTCTTTTTTTCGGCGGGCCATCAACCAATAGATTTGGGGGATTTTTTGTTTGTTGGGAGAAAAGTTTTGAAACCGTTTTTTTTGAAAAAAAAAAAAAAAAAAAAAAAATAAAAAACAATGCATATTTTTGAATTATTGAATACTATGAACTTAATTATAATTAACAAATAATAAAAAGAATTATCATTTATCAAACAAACTAAAACAATTTTATTTAAAATCCTCAAAAAAAATGAGATTTAATTATATATACAAAAAAACAATTATAAATTCATAATATGATTTAAACAATAAATTACTAATTATAATTAAATTAACTAAAAGTTTAATTTTACTTGAAATAATATTTATAGAGAAGATATTTTTAATATATCAAAAAAAATATTAATTCATTTATATTAAGGGGGGTGCACTGCCTTCACCATTTTTTTTTTTTCCTTCCGGTGGGTGGGTTTGAAACCTGCCTCCTAGCTCACGCTGAAGCAAAGAGCACAGCTGGGTGCAGAGCAGCCTTCCATAGCCTGCAGCTCCGCCCCCGTCAACCACCTCCACCAAGTCTGGCCTCCTTAATGAGAGCATTCAACACCCCCCCCCCCCAACTTGGTTGCTTCGCTACATCGGCTATTGCTGCAAGTAATGACAGTGTGAATAAATTGTCAAATTTGCTTGAGATAGTGCTTGCAGTTCTGGAGGGACTCTTAATTTTTTGTGTCTCATAGACTTAGCATGGGGATTTGGTTAACCAGTTAAAATTCATGAGTAAACCAGGTTTATTTTTTTTAACCTGAAAAATTTCAGGGGGGGGGTTGAACCCCTAACCCCCCCCCCCCTCTACAGGCCTGATTACAGTAGTAGTAACCTCTGTGGATGCCATGAAGCCAGCCAGTATATGGGCAGTTTATTGCAGAGTTTGCCCCGACTAGTCCACACACTCCCACAGAAGTCTATGGCTCCCTTTGGTTCAGTCCCCAGCCACTGACACCAGTTCCCCTTCCTGGAATGCAGCTCTCAGTCTCCTGTGCTATCGAAGGAGGCTAACCCAGTTTTCTTTCTTTCTTCTTTCAGGGACTGCTGTGGCCATCTAGCAACTGCAAAACAGGTAAATGGCAATAGATGGAAGAGGATCAAGCTTTTTGATAAAGGATCCATTGGGGACATGTAGGCATTGAGAGGGAAGGAGGAGAGTGCCAAGGCACAAGGCAGAGGTGAATTTATGACACAGGTATGCATCAGTCAACAAAGGGGACAATGCTCTTATTTATTTATTTCCGGCATTTCTATCCCTTCCTTATTTATTTACTTACTTCATTTCTATCCCGCTCTTCTCACCCCTCAGGGGACTCAGAGTGGTGTACAACATACATCTAGGCAAAAATTCAATGCCTCATTATACAAACCATATAAAACATAACATAAAATCACTAGAAACAATTTTTTTTTTATTTGTCGTGTCAGAGCAACCAGTCCATTATATATTACATTTCTAATAGAACAAGCAGACAGACAGAAAAATACACAAACTTGTGAGTTTGGTAGTTGGTTAAATGTCCTTTGACCAGTATCTGGCCACTTGGAGTGCCTCTGGTGTTGCTGCAAGAAGGTCCTCCATTGTGCATGTGGCAGGGCTCAGGATGCATTGCAGCAGGTGGTCAGTGGTTTGCTCTTCTCCACACTCTCATGTCGTGGATTCCACTTTGTAGCCCCATTTCTGAAGGTTGGCTCTGCATCTCGGGGTGCCAGAGCGCAGTCTGTTCAGCGCCTTCCAAGTCGCCCAGTCTTCTGTGTGCCCAGGGGGGAGTCTCTCTTTGGTATCAGCCATTGGTTGAGGTTCTGGGTTTGAGCCTGCCACTTTTGGACTCTCGCTTGCTGAGGTGTTCCAGCGAGTGTCTCTGTAGATCTTAGAAAACTATTTCTAGATTTAAGTCGTTGACGTGCTGGCTGATACCCAAACAGGGGATGAGCTGGAGATGTCTCTGCCTTGGTCCTTTCACTATTGGCTGCTACTTCCCGGTGGATGTCAGGTGGTGCAATACCAGCTAAGCAGTGTAATTTCTCCAGTGGTGTAGAGCGCAGACACCCCGTGATAATGCGGCATGTCTCATTAAGAGCCACATCCACTGTTTTAGTATGGTGAGATGTGTTCCACACTGGGCATGCATACTCAGCAGCAGAGTAGCACAGCGCAAGGGCAGATGTCTTCACTGTATCTGGTTGTGATCCCCAGGTTGTGCCAGTCAGCTTTCGTATGATATTGTTTCTAGCACCCACTTTTTGCTTGATGTTCAGGCAGTGCTTCTTGTAGGTAAGAGCACGGTCCAGAGTGACTCCCAGGTATTTGGGTGCGCTGCAATGCTCCAGTGGGATTCCTTCCCAGGTGATCCTCAGAGCTCGGGATGCTTGTCTGTTCTTAAGGTGAAAGGCACATGTCTGTGTTTTAGATGGGTTAGGGATCAGCTGGTTTTCCCTGTAGTAGGCAGTAAGAGCACCTAGAGCTTCGGAGAGCTTCTGTTCAACCATCTCAAAGCTCCCTGCTTGAGCAGTAATGGCACGATCATCAGCATAGATGAAACTCTCTGTCCCTTCTGGCAGTGACTGGTCATTTGTGTAGATGTTGAACATGGATGGAGCAAGCACGCAGGCAGTTCTTCTGTTTCCGCCATCTGCTTCTCTGGCCCTGGAACTCAACAAAAAAGCTCCCGTTTTGTAGCAGGTTTCCTATGAGGCGGGTGAGGTGGTACTCCTTTGTGATATTATACATTTTTCTCAGGAGGAGGCGATGGTTCACAGTATCATAGGCTGCTGACAGGTCTATGAAGACAGCTCCTGTGATCTGCTGCCTTTCAAAGCCATCTTCTATGTGCTGAGTCAGGTTCAGCACTTGCGATGTGCAGCTTTTGCCTTTCCTGAAGCCAGCTTGCTGTGGAATCAGACATGGGTCTATTTTTTCCATAATTCTATGCAAATAAGTCTCTCCAGAACTTTGTAGAGGTGGCACAACAGGGAGATTGGTCTGTAGCTTTTTGGGTCATTACGGTCTTTGCCTGGCTTCAAGATGGCGATGACTCTTGCTTTCCTCCAGATTTTGGGGATCTGACAGGATGCAGTGCAGTTGTTCATCAGCTCCAGCAGCCAGCGCCTTGCTTTTGGGCCAAAGTTCTTGATTTGTTCCATCCGTAGATCATCCAGGCCAGCTGCTTTGCCATTTTTACATTTATTGAGAGCCATGTCCAATTCAATAGGTGTAAAGGGTTCATGGAGGTTGTTGTTCTCAATCTCTGGTTGTCTGGCTATTGGTTTCTTTCCTACTTTGGTGGCAAAGTTGGGTTTCCCATTCTTCAAGAGTTGGTGTGCTATCTGATCTGCCTTTATGTTGGCATGGGTATTAGTTTGTGAGGGGTCATTGCTCAACCGTCTTAGCAGCCTCCACGCCTTCTGGCTGCTCCTGCCCATGTCGACCTCTGTGATCAGCTTGATCCACTGTTCTTTCTTGGCTTCAGAGATGGAGGACACAATGCTCTGCGCTGCCTGAAGGGTCTGCTCACTAAATGGATCTTCGTTGTGGAGCCTGTAATAGTTGGAGAGGCTGTCCTGTCCTGGTCTGAACTGCACAAACTATCACTCATCCATGATAGCAAGCTCCCACCATCCTACAACAGCGGGAGATGGCACCGAGGTTATAACCCAGACCTCTTATTTGTGAGCGACAGCATTGTACAGCAATGCACTAAATCAGTGGGACCACCAATTCCAAACACACAGCACCGACCAATAATATGCCAACTGTTCCCAACAATAAGGCCTCAGGAAGTTCGATTTAAACGAAGATACAACTTCAGAAAGGCAGATTGGACTAAATTCTCAGACATGTTAGATGACATGATCACATCGGTCGCGCCAATCCCTGAGGAATACGAGCATTTTATTGAAATCGTGAAAACCTGCTCACGGGCCTCTATACCGAGAGGCTGCAGAACCAACTACCTTCAGGGCATTACTCCTGAAACAGCTGCCTTGTTGGAAAACTAGAAACAATAAGCATATAAATACCATTTAAAACCATTAAACCATAATAACCCCTTACACAAATAACACATTGGACCAATCCTTTAAGCACCCCTCTCATGATCCTAAGGAGCACCTCCCAATTTGTGGGTCCTCAGATGCACTAGCCCCCAACTCCCAAAAATCTCAATAAATTAGCTGGGATTTCTGGGAGCTACAGGCCAAAACACCCGGGGACTCACAGGCTGAGAACCAATGACCCAAGGTCTTCTTTGGCTGTCTTGGATGGTGCTGTATGACTGGTCCTCCGCTGGCATCCTCCTTTTATGGCCCAGCCTCAGGAGGCAGCAGGTGTTTCTGCTGGGCCTTGCTTTAGCCAGGCAGTCAGGGCCTGAGTCTGTAAGGAGCCAGTCACCAGGGGCTGAGGTCAAAGGCAGCCTGCAATGGACAAAAACTTCTCAACCCCCGAAGGGGGACTCAGGACAGCTTACATTTAGCAACAATTCGATGCCATAGATACAAGCAAACAACAATATAGCAAGAGTTTAAAACAATAAATAAATCATTAGATTAAAAGCAGTTAAAACATTTGTCAAAACCATAAGCTATTCCGGTTCAATTCCATAACCAAGTGCTGCTATGTCTGTTGTCCAAAGGCCTGGTCCCAGAACCATGATTTCAGGTTTCTTTTTCCTGAAAGACGGGAGGGAAGAAGCCAACCTGATCTCGCTGGGGAGCGAGGTCCACTGGCGGGGGGCCACAGCCAAGAAGGCCCTGTCTTTCATTCCCACCAAACGAATATGCGAAGCTGGTGGAGTCAAGAGCAGGGCCTCCCCGGATGATCGTAAACTGCAGGGTGGGACGTAGAGGGAGATACGTTCTGACAAGTAAGCTGGGCCAGAGTTAAATGGAGTTGGATATTTTTCAGCAGGCATTTCATTCAAAATGAGCAATATTCCCAAGTGGACTAACCAGGACAGGTTGGCCTTGCAGAAGTAAAGAAAACAATTCTGGATATTCTACAAACCAGTTCAAAATTCTTCCAGTTGGATCCAGAGAAGATGTGGGTTTTCTTGCTTGCCTCCAGTTTTCTTATCATTTCTATTTGAATGGTCAAACCTACAGATCAACACTTTTTAAGCTGATAGATAAGCAGGTCCCGAACTGTTTAGTGGATAGGAAGGGGGCTAGCCTGATCTCCTTGGGGAGAGAGTTCCAGAGGTGAGGGGCCACCACCAAAAAGGCCCTCTCTCTCATCCCCACCAACCATTGCCTGAGACAGGAGTGGGACCGAGAGAACAGCCTCCCCAGAAGATCTCAAAAACCGTGTGGGCTTGTAGGGGAAGATATGGTCACGTAGATAAGCAGGTCCCGAACTGTTTAGAGCTTTATAGGTGATAGCCAGTGGAGCTATTTAAACAGGGGGGTTGACTGCTCCCTGTAAGGGATGTTTATTCCCATTATGATCTTTAAACTATGGCTCCTTCCCTTCCTTGTTCAAGAACTCTCACCCTTGAGCCCCTTCCTCCCTAACCCTTCCTCAGTTTGAATCAAAATCTTCCCCTTACTTCTTCTCCTTACTTCTTTTTTTTTAAATCAATTTTTATTGAAAGAGTATACGATTACATGGAAAGTGGGGGGATATAATGAAGAAGATAGGAAAGTAGGAAATAAGACAGAATAAAATAAGAGGGGAAAAACTTAGAGACAAAATCCATTAAAAAAAAGAAAAAGATAAAAAAGAAAAAATATAATAAAAATGTCCGGTACTTCCTTCTAATTCTGCGCGTATTTCATATTCATTGTCTATTCACTTTCCCCTGTTTCTGAGTGTCCACTTTAAAATTTCTTAATTATGAATAAGTCCATTTACCTATCCTTGTATTTCCTTTCTATGTATTCTTCGTCTAGTGACCAATTCATTTCTTTGACCGGATTTCCTGTATTTCTTTTTAATAGAAAAGTTAATGTGTCCATGTCTTTAATTTCATTTATCTTTTTTATCCATTGGTCTTTATCTGGTATGTCCTTTTGTTTCCAGTGTTTCGCAAAAATAATTTTAGCGGCTGTTGACATACACATAAATATCTTTGTTTGTGTTCAAATTTATGTCCCCATCCGTAATTCCCAATAAATAATATTCTGGTTTTCTTGGATATTTCTTTTTAAGAATTTGTTGGCTTGCTTCGTGGATATCTTTCCAATATTTCTGGGCTACCCCACAACTCCATCAGAGGTGAAAAAAGCTTCCTTCATGCTCATTACATTTCCAGCAATTCTTTGATGTGTTTTTGTAAATATAATTTAATTTGATTGGCGTTATGTACCACCTATGAAATATTTTCAACCAATTTTCTTTTAAGTCCATTGCATAGGTGTAATTTAGTTTTTTATTCCACATTATTTCCCAATCGCTCATTGAGATGGGCCTTTTAATATTTTCTGCCCATTTTACCATGCAGTTTTTTTTATCAACTCTCCCTCCGTTGACCATTCCAACAGTTTGTCATATAGCTTAGTTATACATTTCGTTTCTGTTTTCAAGATTTTATCCCAAAATTCTTCCTTAATTTTCTCCTTACTTCTTAAACACCTCACTGTTTCTCTCTCCCTAGCATAACTGGCTGATCTGCCATGGAAGAGAAGAAGGGGCGAGTGCATCCATTCAAATAGAGGAGTTCTTCGGTGTTTTCCGCTGGCTTGTCACCTGTACAGTTTCTGATATTTGTCTTTTTTTGCAGGGATATGGGATTGAGGTGATTTGCCTGTTGGTTAGTTTGGACTTTTTTTTGTTGCAGAAATGAAGTCTTTTAGAATGCATGTGCAGCTGAAAGGATGAACTTAAGCTTTTCATCTGACTAAAAATAGTTGTGCTTGCCTCCTGGAAGAATGAGGAGAGAAGTCGGAATAGGATGAGGCACCCAGTCTGGGCTTCCAGGGGAAGGGAAAGAGCATGTCCTCCACCTGGGACTGCACTCCCTTCCCCTGGTGGCCCACAGCAGCCCCTTGGTTCTCCTCTGGAGCACTGGGCCAGCAATGTCTGTGTCCATAGCCCCCCATTCCTGGCATCGGCAGGGTAGAGGGAGGAGCTGGGCGAACTCTACACATGCATCTTCTTTATAGTTTCGCTACCATCAACCATGGTATCCATCTGAGTTGCCTTTTTGGGTTGGGACTTGGAGATACTGTTCTTCATTGGCTCCGTTAATTCCCAGAGGGATGTTTTCAGAAGGTGGTACTGGGGGACTTCTGT